AGCTCCCCCTCCAAAAGTGATCAAATAATCAGAAGTGGATTTTGAATTGTCAAGGTTTCCTCCCAAATCAGAGTTTGTGTAGCATACAAGTTGTCTTGCCACTACCAAAGCACAACTCCATATTTGAAGTACCCTTCAAATATCTTAATATCCATTTCACTGCAGCCGAATGTTCTTTTCCAGGATTGGAAAGAAATCTGCTAACGGTGCCAACAACATGTGCAATATTTATTCTAATGCAAACCATAGCATACATCAAACTACCAATCATAGAAGAGTATGGAATACATGACATCTCATTCTTCTCTTCATTAGTAGATGGACTCTGGGTTGTACTCAACTTAAAGTGTTTAGCAAGAGGTGTACTAACCACTTTTGTCTCTTTCATGTTGAACCTCTTGAGTACTTTCTCAATATACTTCTTCTGGGATAGTGATAACTCCTTTTGTCAATCTCGATGAATTTGTATGCCTAAGATCTTCTTTGTTGGCCCCAAGTCCTTCATCGCCAACGATTTGCTCAAGTCCTTATTAAGGACTGCAATTCTAGATTTATTTTTGCCAACAATGAGCATATCATCCACATAAAGTAGTAAGACAATAAAATCATCATCAGAGAACTTCTGAAAGAATATATACACAATGATCTGAAAAAGTTTTCATGTATCCCTAATTTTCAATGACAGATTCAAACTTCAAGTACCACTACCTTGGAGATTGTTTCAAGCCATACAAGCTCTTTCTCAATTTGCAAACATGGTTTCCTTTTCCTTTAACTATGAAGCCTTTAGGTTGCTTGATGTAGATCTCCTCTTCTAAATCACCATGAAGAAAAGCAGTCTTGACATCCATCTGCTAAACCTCTAAATCTAGACTTGCGGCTAAGCCTAGAACCATACGAATAAAGGACATTTTCACAACAGGAGAAAAATTTTCATCATAGTCAATTCCATTTCTTTGACCAAAACCTTTGACAACTAACCTAGCCTTGTATCTAGGTGTAGATGTGTGTTGCTCTTGCTTTAATTTATCCATGTATTTGTTAAAGCTTTCTTACCTTTCAATAACTCCACTAGCTCATATGTGTCATTATCATGAAGTGACTTTATCTCGTCTTCCATGACTTCTACCACCTATCTCTATGAGTATCTAGCATGACTTTATCATAACCTTCAGGTTCTCTCATGTCAATCAAAAGGATATACTCATTAGGAGAATAACGTGTTGAGCTTCGCTTCTCTATAGTGGATCTTCTACAAGAGGTTTCTGGAGCATCCGAAGTGATTATCTCAAGACAAATTGGTTGATGATCAACCACAACATCATCAATAGGAAAATCTATAGGTTCTACACCCTGATCATTATCTGCATCATTATCTTGGGTTCCTTCATATGCAAAAGATGTATCAATAATAGGAACTGGATCAACATCAATTAAGCTCTCATCAATCTGAGAATCTGGTTTCTCAGCCTTGTCAATATCTTCAATAGTTTGATCTTCAAAGAACATAACATCACGACTTCTAATGAGCTTCTTATCCACTGGATCATAAAATTGATATCTAAACTCATCTTGACCATAACCAATGAAGATGCACTGCTTAGTTTTAACATCCAATTTTGACCTCTCATCTTTTGGAACATGCACATAAGCTTTACACCCAAACACTTTCAAGTGATCATAAGAAACATCCTTAGCAAACCAAACTCTATTTGGAACATCACCATCAAAAGCAACAGGAGATAAATTGATAACATAAGCAATAATGTTAAGTTCTTCAGCCTAAAATGAATTTGAAAGTTTAGCCTCTGAAAGCATACATCTAACTCTCTCAACTAAAGTTTTGTTCATCCTTTCTGCTAAGCCATTTAATTGATGAGTCTTTGGAGGAGTTTTCTGATCACGAATTCCTTGCGATTTGCAGTAGTTATTAAAGGGACCAATATACTCACCACCATCATCAGTGCGAATACATTTCAATTTCTTTCCCATTTTTCTTTCAGATAAGGCTTGAAACTCCTTAAACACATAAAGTACTTGATCTTTGGATTTTAAAGGATATACCCAAATCTTACGAGAATGATCATCAATGAAAGTTGCAAAATAAAGTGCACCACCTTTTGACTTCACTTTAAAAAAACCATACAAATCAGAGTGTACTAGCTCTAGTGACTCAGACTTTCTTGAATGAGGATGACTGTGAAAAGAAACTATTTTTTGTTCCCAAATAAGAAATGAACACATCTTTTCACCTCTGCTTTTTTCACACCAGCAAGCAAATTCTTCTTAGCCAAAGAGGTGATCCCTCTCTCGCTCATATGACTAAGCCTTTTGTGCCACAATTTGATAAAGTCACTTTCCATCAAAATTATAGTCACCAAGAATCGATCCTTGTGTCACATATAAATTTGAATGCTTTCTTCCTCGAGCTACAATTAATGAGCCTTTGGTGAGCTTCCATTGGACATTTAACAAGTCATTATGATAGCCATCATCATCTAGTTGTCCTACATAGATCAAATGTATCATTATTGGTTTTCAAACAAACAATGCCAACACCAAACACATTTACCTCACTAGCATTATCCATTTTTAACACCTAGAGTTAACAGAAGTATAAGATAGAAATAAGTCTTTTCTTGGTGTGACATGTGATGTAGGTCCAGAATCTACTATCCAACTTGTATCTTGAGATACAAAATTGATGACATCTCTATCACAAGCGAAGAGAAGATCATCTCGGACAACAACAACAACAACAATGTTTCTGTTATTTTCTTCTTTCTTCCCTTCTTTAAGATCTTGCTTCAACAGTTTGCAAAATCTTCTAATATGTCCTTTCTTTCCACAATGATGGCATATAATATTTTGATTCTTGAATCTTGACTTGATTTTGCTTTTACCTCTACTTGTCGGTCCTTTTGTCTTATCTCTCCCTTGATCTTCTGTATACAAAATATTTGAATGTGAGGATGTACCTTGAGATTTTCTTCTAACTTCTTCATTCAACACACCACCTTTTGCAAATTCCATAGTCACCTTACCACCAGGAGCAGAATTTGTTAAAGAGACACGAAGAGTTTCCCAAGAATTCGGTAGAGTATTAAGAAGCCAAAGTCCTTATATTTCGTCATCAAAATTAACACTGATTCCTGATAGTTGATCAAGAACACCTTGAAAATCATTTATATGATCAAGAATATGACTGTCATCCTTGTATTTAACGGTCATCAATTTCTTTAGAAAGAACAACTTGTTATTGCCAATTTTTAAAGTGTAAAGTGTCTCCAACTTTTCCCACAATGTTTTAGCATTTGTCTCATTCACAATATAGTTGCGAACATTATCTTCAATCCATTGCCTTATATATCCACATAATTGTTGGTGCTCGAAATCTCAATTTTCATCAGTCACAGTCTCAGGTTTATAAGTAGCAAAAACGGGAAGATGCATCTTCTTCACGAACAATAGATCTTTCATCTTGCTTTTCCATATGTTGTAGTTTCTTCCGTTTAAACTTACCATCTTGTTCATATTCCCCTCCATATAGAGAACCTGGCTCTGATACCAATTGTTGTGACGGAAAGATGAAAACAAAAATCTAAAAATAAAAAATACCAAGTTTAACGTGAAAAAATCCTTCAAACCGAAGGTAACCACCACGGGATCGACATGATCCGAATTACTTCACTATAACAATAAGGGGGTTACAAATATTCTTCATGGCTACATAACAAGTGCCAAAAGAGAATAGACAATAGCTACACATACAAAATAAAAAAAGAAGGAAACACCACCCAAACCCAACTATTGTTCGTGATAAAAAACAGGATCTTTCTGACCTTCAAATCCGATCTCACCGTTCAAATCAACCACCAAGATGTCAGGAACACTCAGTACAACTTTTAGTCCGATCCAACGGTTAGTTAATCGGTAAACACGATATGAATGTTGCTGGTCGGAGAAATAGACTGCAACAAAAAAACTATTTTTCTTCTCTCTTCTCTCTTGTTGAAAGCTCTCTCAAAAATTACTATTCCAATCTCTCAAAAAGACAATACTAATGAGCAATTGAATAATTCTCTCAATACCCTCTATTTATAGAATTGTGCTTTACATTACAAAGTCAAAACCAACTTCAAATAAAATTAGTATTCCAATCATTTTTCTAATAGAATTGGAAACCAAATAAAGAGAATAATTTCAATCCTTTTTTTAAGTAGGATTAGGCCATGACCTTTGACTGGAACATGGGACATAATCCAACATTGTTGGGAGTAAATAAGAAATGTGGATGACCTACGGTAAATTCACATGACTTTATATTTTTATTTATGAGTTTGAAGACCTGCAATAAATGCTTAGCAAATTTATTCATATCTTATAATTTCTTTAATATGATATCTTTATTTCATAATAGTTTTATAGATTTTATTAGTTTTTTAGATATTTGACGTGAATCCTTAAGAAAAAAGAAACTGAAGAGTAGATATTAATTTTTTTTTTTATTCGGTGTCCGATATACATATTAGAGCCGTCGAAAAGTTTCACATTAAAGGATAAAATGCTTTCTAATAACAACGACTTCTTGATTAAGAATAAAGGAATAAATATCACTCCACCACAACCCTTATTGGTAGAGCAATATTCATTTACAAAGTACTTGCGATAATGTAATATATTTCCTTGTTCTGCAAAAAAAATAATACAAAGTACTTGTGACATTCACATATTCTTGTGGACATACTATGTTACATCTGTATTTTGTCTTTTGAACATTCGATGCGTCTATCTGAGCCCTTTATTTTCTGTGATAAATAAAAAAAAAGGGGCCCAATGACCATTCTCATTAAAAAAAAAAAAAAAGGATGACGTCTATCTCAACTTGGTAACCGTGAAAAGGGAATATAAGTTTATTTTGGACAAGTAGAATGAGTGTCATCTTGTGTTTGGAAAATAAAAATAATATGGTTGAAAAGTTGTTGTAACAACCCATTTAATTTCTAGCAGGAAAGTTATTTTCCCTCTGTAGATTTTACCAAGTTTGCTTTGATTTAGGAGTAGGAGTTGTTGTGTTGTTTGGTAAAGCAGTTTATTGTGATATTTCAATTATAGTTTGATTGTTATTTGTTTTGTTTTTGTCAAATTACAGAAGATGGAATCGGAATCATCAAAATTGTTGTGTGGGAGCAGTAGCAAAGTGGAGACTACAACCCCTATAACATTTGTTCTTCTACTTAGTACATTTGCTGCTGCTTGTGGTTCTATATCCTATGGATTTGCTGTAAGTACACACACTTTAGCTAATTCTGTAAACACAGACACTTGAATGCCATGTTTTCTTGTAAAAGTCCACCTTCCTTGAGCTCACTTTCTTGTAGAGTACTGGCTTTTCTCATTTAAGCAAAACACCTAAATCCTTCACATGCCCATACTCTATACTGTTCCCTATTGTTAACATGTGTAAAATCTTTCCTCCTTTATTTGCAGTATTAATTGCCACACCATATACAATCTGACCCATTCTAACAAATGTTGAGAGGTGTTGGTGTAATATACCAATAATACAATAAATTACAGTTCAAATAAAATGAACAAAAATGAATAAATAAATATTTAGGCTGAAGCATAGGTATCTCGCTCTCTTTAAGGAGATTCAAGCTCACTCCGGCATAATCTACATCGATCCAGCAGTATGTCTCTTGGCTTGTCCCCTCCAGGATACAACAACCCAACAACGTCGTATAACTCAAACAACTCCGGATTAGTTGAAGAGTCCAAAGCTCCACAAGAAAAACACCTTCCTTCAATATATATATAAATATTCTCTTTTGTATATAGTGAATATAGTTGAAGACTTAGAATATTATTCTTTGTCTCAACTCTCTCTTTCACTACAACACTAATCTCAATGTAAACATAGTAAAATACTACTTATCTTTTTCACTCTATATTTTCTTGTACTTCTCTTGTTTTTTCTTATATCACAACACAAAGGAAGACCACACTATTTATAGGTGATGAATTCTTCCTTGCAATGAATAGGAAGATAGTGGGTAGTAAATTTGCCAAATGAATGGCTCAAATGTTACATAAGTTACAACTTAAAGATAGAATAATGGATGAAATGAAGAGTTGGTGATTACATAAGTTATTAAAAACTAATGACCACTTTCTTCCACAATTGATGAGAGTAAAGAGGCACAAATGTAATGTTCATCAATAGACATAACATGATATATAATGTGACATATAATATATTCTTATTAATATTAAAATGGCACACCAACAAGAGGCATTATCCCGAGATCTGAAACCACATTTTTAATTAACATGGATAATTTAAGTTTATAGGCTCTAGCAGGTTTATGTAGACATTGATGAGTATTTTGTGATATGAATCAACAAATGATTCTGCTTCTAACACGGCAAATTATTTGTTTTGTACTTGTAGGTCGGATATTCATCTCCAGCTGAAGCGGGGATCATGGATGATCTGGGCTTGTCTCTTGCAAATGTATGCAGCTTTTATATTGTTTTCAACTAGGAAAAACTTGCACTCTCTGTGTCGTACACCTGTTGACTCTTTCTTTAATATTGCGAGGGAAACAAGTATCATATGGATCAAATAGTAATTATTACATTACTCTTCTCTCTTCCATCCTATTTCATACCCCTTCCTTATAAATAGACAAATTTAGATATGTATATGTAAAATCACGGGTATGTGCCTTAGTTGGAGAAAGATTTGTTTTTTTCTTATGGGTTATTGTTGGAAATAGATACACTCATTGATGGGTTGACTAGTAACTTGCTTCATTCATGAAGTAAGTTACAACTCCACTAAATAACTCCCTATAGTAAAAGAAGAAGAGTTTCTTGAATGGAGTGGGAGTTATAGGATAAGGGGTGATGTAACTCTTGAATGAATAAGAGTTACAAGTCCTAACCTTGTCCTATAAAAGGGAGGACTTGGGGTCATCCAAGAACAACACAAGAAAAGAGTTCCTTAGATAAAGAGTGTAGTTGTTGTGAAAAACAATACAAGACTCCATAGTGATCTTGTAAGAAACCGCTTAGGCAATTGGTGGTGATAACACTTGATCCTATAACAAGAGGTATGTATAATTCCGCATAAATCTCCGAGTTTAAATCCTTCAGTTATGACTAACCTCGAAAATGTGTTTGCAACAAAAAGTATTATGTCCTCTTTTAGCAAAGGAAAGGGAAAGAGGTAAATAGGGTTGTGATCATCAATGAAACCAACCACGATTGTACCAATTGCAGTGTAGGTTCAAGGTTGAAAAATGTTCAACCGACCATAGAGTTCCACTTGTGAGCCATTGTTTTATTGCGACTTCATATGCATGTTTTCAACTACTGGTAGTCTGTTAATGAATGTATGGAGCTCTATATTGCATTTTTTATATGCTATAAATCATGAACATGATTCTGAGGCACAACCCCAGAGAAAGTTTCTAGAAGCACCGTATTAAGATTCGCATTTCCGATGTTGCAGCTATCGGATTTAGTGTCATCAAGTAAACCAACTTGAGTTTTTTCAAACATTTTCAATGATGCCCACATAGTATTTAATATTATTTTTTATCAATGGTGAATTTAACCTGTAAATTAGTTCTTACACCCCACTGTCTAATATTCTTATCTTCCAACCACATTCTGAAGTATTCAGCATTCAGTTCAATACTGACACTTGGAGGAGCCATTGGTGCACTAATCAGTGGCAGAGTAGCAGAGTCTATTGGCCGAAGAGTTGTATGTTATTTGCTTTTCTTGGATACTCTCTGGCTTCCAAAATATTATGCTTGTTAAGTTGCATTCCTCATTGCAGACAATGTGGCTGTTAGAGTTATGTTTTATCATAGGGTGGCTTTCCATAATATTTGCCAAGGTGTGTGCCAAACATTATACTTTTCTTAAATTTAGCAGTTATGACTAAAGGAATCTATTAATTCTCACATGATAACGCAGACCTTTCTAAACTCCTAGTACATGTTCATCCTAATTTATGGAGAATTGATGCATGTATTCCTCATTTGTACACTCACTAAACAATTCCAATTATTATTTCGTTGGTACAATCTTAAAGATTGGTTATCATAAGTCAGAGACTATATTTTTGTCTAAGGGAAGGTAGTTTCAAGATTTATAATATGTTTGGCTACTTAATTAAAGAATATTTGGTGGCTCAATGCTGGAAGATTATTGATGGGAATTGGAGCTGGACTTCATTGCTATGTGGTAAACTTTGTAAATTTCCCAACGGATTTCTCATGTTCCTCTTTGATTAGAACATAATGAAATTTCCATTATAATTAAAGCAGGCACCAATATATGTAGCAGAAATAACGCCTAAGAATATCCGAGGTGGATCTACAGCTGCTGTTACGGTAAAATAAAATAATGCATAGCTGGGTGTTACTGAATTCAAACCTTTTTTATGTGGTGAAATAGATTGCTGAATTTGCAGTTTACTGTGTCTTGTGCCTTTTCCGTGATGTTCTTTGCTGGGAACTTCTTCACTTGGCGCAAGTTGGCTGTAATTGGTAACATGCAGTGTGATATATAGGATAAAATATGCCAATTTATTTTTATGTGGTTTGAGGATATTGCTTACTTATGGCTTGCAATTGGTTAATTTTCAGGAGCTATTCCTTGCTTCATTCATGTGGTCTGCATTTTCTTCATTCCAGAATCCCCAAGGTGGTTGGTGAGTCTCTACAAGATTTTTTCATTTCCTTTAGCTAACCCAAGGGGGTACTTGAGGATGCTTTCTTTTAAGCACTGTAGGCAAAGATTGGTAAAGGAAAGGAGGTAGAGGCATCTTTACGATGTCTAAGAGGCGATAACTATGATGTTTCTCAAGAAGCTGATGAAATCAAAGTAACAACTCAACTATTTCTGTTAGCATAGCCATCAGTTGTTTTTTTTTATCCTGTGTTTTTGCTTTGTTTTCTTCAAGGACTACACAGAGACCAGTCAGAAGCTAACTGAGTTCAGATTTCTGGATTTATTCAACCCAAAATATGCTCATTCACTTATTGTAAGAAGCAGATAAAGAAGTATGTTCTATATATTACTTGCCATAACTTCTTACTTGTATTTGTATGCTACAATTTTTAGGTCGGAGTTGGTTTAATGCTTCTGGTACAATTTGGGGGGACAGATGGAATTTCATCTTTTGCTGGTTCAATATTCAAAGCTGCTGGTTAGTCCTGATTGACAAATGTTGTTGTAAATAATAATAGTGTGTTTGAAGGAGCTAAAAATCCTAATTTACGATGCAATGACAAGGCTGTTCAACTGGTTTTTCTTCTACAATGATGGCTATGATCCAGGTTTATCACTCTTCCTAGAGTAACTTGAACAAGTCGGTCCTTCATGAGACGGTTCAAATAATGAGAATCTTGTTTCAGCTTCCTTTTGCTGCTAGTAGCGTACTATTGATGGATAATACTGGACGCCGCCCACTTCTGATGGTACACATTAAACTATTTTTCCGACCTTCATAGCATAGCTGGATTGGGAGGTCAGCACTTAAATTCTTGCAGGTTACAGCAACTGGAGCATGCTTAGGAAGCTTTCTGGTAGGGTTGGGGTTTCTGTTTCAGGTATTGCCAAGTGATATCTGAATTCATGTACTACTGGAGTTGTAACTTTATCTTAAAAGACTTGCATATATGAGCAGGACTATCAACAGTCAAAAGAGCTTACTGCCACATTGGTGTTCACCGGGATACTGGTACATGAATTTGCTCCTTTCCTATTTTTGGTTTAAAATGTTGTTGCTTTTTGCGTTCCCTAGTAACATATTCTAACTTAGACTAGCTCATATCCATGCTCAATATTGATCACAGAAAATTTATAATGCTGCTCTACTTCATGTTTTTAGCAAAGATGTGGGTTAGGCTTGCTTGTCAAAATATAAAGGGAAAAGGATCAAAAATATCCCTCAACTTTGTTTTATTGGTTGATTATTCCCTTACCGTTACTAACTTCATCATTTGTGCCCCTCAATTGGATAAAAAAACCCCAAATCAATTAAAATTATCCAATTTTAACTCGATCCGACCCACCTAATAATATAACCCATTTTTGTTCATTTGTTCATCTTCTATTGGGCGTTTTTGGGTCTGTTGGCGGGAGGAGGAAGAGGTCTGGCCATCTGGGTTTTGTGGTCAGTTTTTGGGGGTTTTTAGTGGTTCCGGTGGTGAATGGGGCGGCTGTTCGGAGGCGTTTTGGTTACTATTGTTCACCTGAGCTTCGAGCTCAAGGCTGTTTGTTCCTGGTGGCTGATTCAATTTGATATTTTTTTCAACTTAAATCAGGTATATTCTGCATGTTTCTCTGCTGGCATGGGTGGTACACCATGGGTTATCATGTCAGAGGTATTTATCAAGCATTTATTTTAGCAATGAGTTGACATAGATCAATTAGAAATTGACTTTGTCTTCATTCATTCAGATATTTCCTATTAACATTAAGGGACAAGGTGGAACTTTAGTGACATTAGCTAATTGGTTTAGCTCCTGGATTGTGACTTATTCTTTCAACTTCATCTTTCAATGGAGTTCAGCAGGTAATTCACTCTTCTCTCTTCCTCAACTTGCTTCTCTTATTATATTTGATAAAACTCAATTAATTTAACTTGTCAGGTGTATTCTTTGTATTTGCAATTTTTTGTGCTTCAATTGTTTTCTTTGTTGCAAAACTCGTACCTGAGACAAAGGGACGAACATTAGAAGAAATTCAAGCATCAATGACATTATTACAATGATGAAATGTATCATCTATATCACACATTGCTACTGCCCATTTGGTTTCTTCAAATTTGTACTCCTTTATTTGTCTTGTCAATACTCTCTCAATTATTTATTGTTTGTTCGACTTGCCCATTGTCTAGTCAAACACTATATCATCTATTAAACACGTCCTAGATTTACACCATTTTTAATAACTAGTTTTGATGAACATGTGTTGCATGTTAATATCAGATCACATACTACATTATTTTTTCTAAATAATGTCAATATTATTAAATAAAAAATTAATCAAATAATTATAAATGAAATTATAAAGTATAAGTTCCTATGAATAATGGATGTGTACTTTCTTATATTACCAATTGCGTGCATATTAAATTTGTGAAATCAATATCAAAAAACATCTATATTTATTTATGGGTTGAACCCATCGATGACCCCTTAAAGTTGGCACTAAATTTCACTTAGACACCTCAACTGAATTTTGTTCATTTTAGACACCTTATGTAGAGTCTCTGTGTCATTTTGACTTTTTTTTGTTTTTACTATCACCCAAATATATAAGTGTGTGTAATACACTCCCAGATGACGTGTCAAAATGATGAATCAAACAAAGACAAGTAGATATAAAAAAATAAATTTCAAATAATGACTTTTGAGTAGAAAAAATGGCCACAAATTTGATGACATGAGTCATTTTAAACTCAAACAATAATTTTTTTAAAAGAAAAAATCATCACCCCATGCCCAACCCAATCGTCTTCTTCACCCCCACCCAACCCAGTGTTCCTCTCCACCCCCACCCCAACCGCTTCCCCACAATCCACCAAATCTTCCCCTCCACCCCATCCACCCAACCGCTCCTCCACCCCACCAGCGATCAGATCGTCCTCTCCACCCCACCCACTCCTACCTCAACCCCTTTTCCACCCATATCAATTTTTCAAGAAACACTTTCAAAAGAATTTAATTACTTTGAAAGATTTATTATACAAAAGTACGATTTTTCCTTCTTTACTTCTAAAAATTAGTTATTAGTTAACAATGGAAGATTTTTTTTTTCGAATTCTCGTGAGTGCAAATGATTCAAATACATGAAAATGAAATACGATTATTATTTTGTAACTCTTGAAATTTAAACTTTTAGGAAATCTTGTGGGCTGAAATTTACTTTGTTATTTGTGGCATCACTAAATCTATTTTACCATAGAAAAAATTCAAGTTTGGGAAATGGTAGCTAGAAAATGGAGAAAAAGAAGAGAACATTTATAAAAATTAGTGAAATAAGGCTTTCACACGCAGTAAGTGTGTATCACACTCACTATGTCATGTAAGCAAAGAGTGGCAAAATGGTATAACGAAAACCTACATAAGATGTCTAAAATGAACAAAGCTCAGTTAAGATGTCTAAGAATAATTTTGTGCCAATTTTAAGGGTCCCTTGATGGGTTTAGCCTTATCTATAATATAAAAATCAGATATAGATAAGGAGATGTGACACCTCACAATGGCCTTTAGTTACATTTATCTATTTTTCCCTCTCTTTTTTTTTCTTCCTTATTTATCATTTTAATATTAATTGTGATCTGTAAAAAAAAATCACTCTTAAAAGCTCTAGATGACACTCTTAATTGTGCCTTCTCCTTCATCTCCTATAATTCATTGCTTAGTTATTGTTGAACTTCTTACTTTTAATATAACATGAATAAATATACAACAACAACAATAATAGTGAAATAATGTAAATATAAAATTAGAAGATATACTAAATTGGTGTTTTTAATTGAGGTACTAGAGTAATTTAACATTTATTTTAGGGGTGTTCAAATTCCACAAAACTTCAAACCCACTCAAAAACTGTAAATCATACTTGAGTTTTTTTAAGAAGAGAAGAATAGAAAACTTAGAAAAATTGTGTCACGACCCGAGTCTACACCCTGGATATGACCGACACTTACGAACCAATGATGGTCCCCAAGCGAACCCTCATCCTGGTTGACTACAAGCAGAAGACTAACTCAAACATACATAAGCTTAAAGCTAAATTAAATTCATTAAACTCAAATACTCAACTTTAAAAAGTCTGAAAAATACTCAAAAGAAGTAAATCTAGAAAACTCCTCAACTCTGTCTATCTATGAAGCCTCTATTACTCAAGAAGGATGTCAGGACAAGACCCACAACAACTTAAGACAACTGACTAAAAATTAAATATGGAGACCTCTGGAATACAAAGAGACTCACCAAATCTAACTGGAGTGTAGAGTGATCTCAACAAAGCGTATGTTGATAATCCTTAACACATGTATCTGCATCATAAAAGGATGCAGATAGAATGACATCAGTACATGGAATGTACGAGTATGTAATATAGCTGAGTAAATAAATAACTGAACTGATAAGACTGCAATAGATAAACTCAATTGAATGTAACGGATTAAAGGAATGAAATCATTTAAAACTTTACAAAAACACTTACTCATCTGTGAACCTCAACATAATAAGTGATATAATAAAAATACACTTTTAACTCTATTTGGGAGATTTTCTGACCGACAACTATCACTATGACCTATGTGATGATACATCGTCTCGTTCATGCTACCAAAACTGTCTTATACCTTGCCGGAGTATAAGACATCCTCAACTAAGTGGATCCACTAAGCTATGCTTAAAAAGCAATAAGGAGTCATCTAAAGGATGACCCTTTACCCATGTTGGCCAACATGGTTTATGAGGATTTTGAGTTGTCTGAACTCATCTTCATATCGGTGTTCAATACTACTCTCAATAATATATACGCATGATCATATATTTAACAACATAACTCTTTCTCTGATTTGAGATAATTTCTCAAACTACCCTCTTAAAAGAGGTAACTGCTCTTGAAATATCTTTTAAACTCATAACTCATTTAGAAATCTCAGTTTCTCTTTTATCAATGTAAAAATTGATACCTCTAGGAATACATAGTCCCCTTATACTCTTACTCAAGTCCTACTTGAAACTCTTTCTCAAAAACATATCAAAATCATATTCTAATATGATCATTGATGACTCAAAAAGTCATACTGCATAAAAATTAATGGTATATCTAGATACCATACTGCTCATACATTGATGACATACTCGATTGTCATACTAATCATGTTTTAGAAACTCTTTTCTCAAAACACAGTTTAAGAACTCATATGTTGGCTTTAAAAAGCATTCTCAAAATTTATAACTCAAATCATAGAGTTCATGTGGAATTATGGACATGAACGACTCAACTCAGAGATCTTACTAGAAAATAGGGAAACTCAGTACTCAGAACTCAGAACTCAAGACTCAAGAATTGAAAACTCATAACTCAACGATATTTCTCCTCTAAAAAATACACAATTTATAGGGTTCATGATGAAATATAGACATGAACGAACAACTCAAGAATTTTAATGCATAACATATATCAATTCAATAAATAGTAATATAATTTCAAAAAGAAACTGGAACTCAAGAACTCAAATCTACTTATCTAAAAAATACTCAAATCTAGGAATAGAATCCTAGATTACTCTTTTACTGATTTGAAAGTAGATGTATAGTGTGAAGACGAACTAGTCCAACACTATGATAGCCTTACATACCTGGAAGAACAAGGTTCTTGAAGAATCTTGAAGAATATCTTGATTAAAAGCCTTGAAACCCTAGCTTGAAGGGAAATAATCAAGAAAACCTTTCTTGAGATTTCTTGAATTAGTTTCTTGAAACTCTATGGCCAAGAATTATGATTTTCATTAGTTATTCATAATTGTATGGAGGAATTTGAGTTGAAAAGAATGGAATTCTTGGAGAAAGACTTACCTTGAAGAAGAATCTTGAAAAAGATTGAAAGAATCTTAATGGAGTCTTCTACTTTGATTTTTCCTAAGGGTTTTGCCTTAGGGTTTGAAAGAGAAAAGAATGATGGATTAAAAGATGAAAATCTGATTGTTTTGGGTCTTTAATTAGTCAAGAAATTCGTTTAGGATTTTCTTAGAGGTAAAAAGATAAAAACGACCATTTTTAATGTTTTCCCGTTGGCTAATTCGTCACAACACTGTATCAAGTTACTAAAATGGTCATAACTTTTTACTCAAACCTCGGATTGATGCGAAATTGGTGGCGTTGGAAAGAAGATTCAAATACCTTTAATTTGATAGGTTATGGGCCATGTAACTCTTTATATTCTAAGAGATATGGTTGTTTGAAGTTGACCTAAGTAGAATCTTACATCAAAACTTAATTGGTAAGGAAGCTTTCAACTCAAATTTGTGCTAGGAGATTCTAGTGACCTTAATTGATATCCAAAATCATTCCCACACTAAATAATTTACCTTAACATCTAAGAAAAATTAAGAGTCACTCAGTACGACGCAATTCAAGAATGGTTTGGGCCTAACTTAGAAATTTTCGGGGTGTTACAACTTGTAATTTAAAAATGTGAGGAAACCCTTTAATTTATAACCAACAAAGGATAGTACCAACATGTACTTATTGTGTCTTATCAGAAGAGTTACAACCCTTTGTAAAGTTCACAAATCATTGGAAAGGTCACAACTCTTAGAAAAGTCACAACCCTTTGAAAAGTCACAACTCATTGGAAATGTCACTACCACTCGAAATAAAATAAATTAGGTGTTTTAAGTTGGGGTATTATAGTAATTTAACATTCAAGTTAGGGAGTTCTTAAAATACTCCTAAGGTACTGCAAAAGATTAAACACAAGTCAATATAAAATCTAAAACTGCTAGACGTTATTTTACTTACAAATTACCAATAATACACCATCTCAAAATTTTTAAATATAAGTGTTTTGTATGTCTTGAAATATGAACATGAGAGAATAAATAAAATTGACACATTTTAATAACATTTGTCAAAACATTGTCTATACACATAAAAATTAGGGAAAAGAATGTTAGACACCCAATTTTTGCCTAACATTTTCAAAATTCACAACTTTTAAGTTTTATTTATTTAATAGTTCAAAATAC